CCCCCCCCCCCCCCCTGCCCAGCACTTCAGTATCGTTTGACCGACCCCCATCCCCATCCTCATCCCCTTCGAGACCCCCACCAAATTACCACCCCAGTTGGGGATACACCCCTCGAAACCCGAAGAGAACGGCCTATTTCCCCATCTAGGGGGGCCAATCGGCCAGTGTGGTCCAGGCCACGCCGCTTGGGATGGGGATCGGTTAAACGATACTCAGGACTGATTCCGACGAGCAGAACGTGGGAGAAAGGAGCCTCCACGTCGCCGCGCCTGGGCGCGGCTCGAACAGCTGGCCAGCTTCGACAGGGAGGGTCCGAGCCTTGATCTCAAGCGCACAGTGGGGGCCCCATGCCAAGAAGCACCCTATTTGCCTCCAGGGTGCCCTGGGTTTCTTTGGTTTCGATGGTTTTGCTGCGGAAAGCGTGGCACTCCCACACCAAAAATCAATGGACGTCCCGGGGTCTCAGGGTTGGGTTTCTTGTGGAAGGGTTTTTGTGGACAGGCCTCCACTGTAGCCAGCTTCGACAGGGAGGGTCAAAGCCTTGATCTCGAGCGGGTTTGCGCCCGTCCCCCTCTTTTGACTCACTCTGGGAGGGCGCGTCCAGCGCAGACCCCCGGGCCGCTTCCAACTCCCACCCACCCGTTCTCTCCCTCTCCATGGGAGGAGCACGATGATGAGGGTGACCAGTCACGTGTCCGCGTCATCATAGCGCGCGCACTCGGACAGGCTATTTTTATTTTTCAAGATGCAGGAAACCATCCTCGCAGTGCTTGCTGAGACCTGGCAATCTGACCAGTGTAAACCCAAGACGCGCAGACGATCTTCCCGCCGAGTTCCTCTTCGTAGATCCCTAAAACCATGTTCATTGCAGTAGGTGGCCCACTAGAAGACAACCCTCCGATAATCTTCAACCGTGCCAGATAACCATTCGTGGGTTTCCAACGCCGCAGATCAACGTGATTGTTGCGTCCTGGCGATTCTAAATCGTGCATGAGCACCGTTCCTGGAACTTGAACACCATGAATGAACATGACTGTTGCGCCCTGACATCCTCCACCACTCCTGGGATTTCGACCATATGAATCCTTGGAGCTGCTGCAACAGTTTAAAACGAATGTGCGCGGCGCTGAGGCGAGAGTCACATTCTGGAAGCCACCCGCCCGCCATCTTTCAATGTCGTATTACACACTTTTTAAGACGTACGCGGCGCCAAAGCGAAACTCACATTTTTCCCTACCTAGGCTCTGCCTAGAGGGTTCTTGCTCTCTTTCTTAAAGGGGCCGGGCAGTGCACACCGCCCCGGGCGGTTCCCCCAGTATCCGCCCCGCGGTTCCCCCAGTTACGTCCCCTTAGCTTAGCGTTGCTTATCTCATCTTAGTTTAGCTTATATCTTATTAGCTTAGCTTAGCTCAGCTTAGCATAGCGCAGCGCTGCATTAGCATAGCATGACATAGCATAACACAGCCAAACACAGCATATCATAGCATAGCATAGCATAGCGCAGCATAGCATAGCACAGCATAGCATAGCATAGCGTAGCGCAGCTTAGCATACCATAACATAGCTTAACATAGCACAGCGCAGCATGACATATCATAGCTTAGCATAGCATAGCATAGCATAGCATAGCATAGCTTAGCATAGCATAGCATAACATAGCATAGCATAGCATAGCGCAGCATAGCATGGCATAACATAGCATGGCATAGCAACTAATGCTGCTTTCCTAGGGGCTCCAACTTCTAGGTAGGGTCGCACTGGGGTAATGATAACCATTGGCCCTTTCATCCGTGAAGCTGTTCATCACTTTGTGGACGAATGGGCGCGGTGCTAAGGCGAGAGCCACATTACAAAAACACCCGCCCACCATCCGTGAAACTCTTCCAGACTTTCAAGGTGAATGTGCGCGGCGCTAGTGCGAGAACCAGATTTGAAAACCACTCGCCCTCTACGCGTGTAACTATTGCAATTTCTGATGCGAATGTGCGCGGCAGTGGGGCGAGAGCCACACTTCGAAAAGGACCCAGCTTCCAGACATAACATGGAAGGCGGGCTGGGCGTTTCGCCTGAGACGTCCTCACCATTTACGATCCTGAAGCTTGAAATGTGAAATGACTTCAAGGATGGAGGGGGTCTTCTTCAAAATGTGGCTCTCGCCTAAGCGCATTCGTTTTGCACGCTTGCACTTGCTTCAAGGATGGAGCACAGGTCCTTTCCAAACTGTGGCTCTCCCCTTAATGCCGCGCGCCTTCGTCTTAAACGTTCGCAGCAGTTTCAAGGATCGATCACCAGTAGTTTTCAACATGTGGCTCTCGCTGTAGCGCCGCGCACATTTGCCTCGAAGGTTTGCCGCAGTCGCAGATGTGGAGCGGGGTCGCTGTCAACATGCTCATTCCCTTTCAAGCGCCGTTCGCACTTGTCTTCAGCGATTGCAGCAGCTTCAAGGAAGGGTAGAGGTAGTTTATATATATATATAGGTTGGAAACAAAGATTTAAGAGGCTTGCGCCTGAGGGCAGGCCGTTCTCAAAACGGGGCTCTTCGCCTCAGCACCGCGCGCGTGTGCTTTTCTGCTGCAGCGTTGGAGTTGATGGACGACATGTCTTGTCCAGTACAGTCAACCATGACAGTGAGGATGGGGCAACTTTCCAAGGCTACCCTTGCATCCTTGCCCCTTCGGTACTCGGCATCCTTCGGCATTTTGCTGCGCTCCGCACGGAAAACGTCGACATGGCCTTCCAAGGCCCTTGCATCCTTACCGCGCATCCTTACTATCCTGGTCGAGTGTAAGGGCTTCCCGTTGCAGCCGCTGTAGATGTAAATGGTCAAGGCCCGAAGCTTCGACAAACGTAGCGCTGCCCAGCTCCAGGGCGGCTCCTTTTCAAGACGCAGCTTGCGCCTGAGATCTCCTCGAAGCTTATGGGCACAAGTCTTACGTATGTGGAACATTTAAACGGATGGGGGCGGTCCTGCTCGAAAAGGGGAACCTCATCGGGCACCTCGTTGGACTGAATGATCCTAGTTAAAGCATTCCTGAGAAGGCGCCAGAAAGAGGATGAGAGAGGCAAGGCAATTCCTTCTCAAGGCGGTGCCCTCGCCGAAGTGGCAGGCCCCACCGGTGCTGAAACGGAAAGCCTGTAGGGACGCGTGAGGAGAGCGGCTTGGGACGGGAGGGCGCAGTGCAGCAGCGCTGCTACTGCATCTTTGGTTCACTCCGGTCATCATCTTCCTCCTCCTCCTCCTCCTCCTCCTCCTCCTCCTCCTTGCCCTCATCCCCTCCGCACAGTCTTCTTCGCTCCCTCTCCTCGGCTCCCTCTCCCTCCGCCCCTCGGGCCACCGGTGGAGGACTTGTGCGGCGAGCCGGCGGGGCAGAAGACGAGAAAACGGGCCCACCGCCGCAGCAGCTCGCTGGACCTCGGCGCCGGGAAGGGCGAGGCCGAAGTGCTGCGCAAGCTGAAGCTGAAGGCGCCGCGGGGCGCAGACGGGGGGTGGCGCGAGGGGTCGGCCTCCTGAGATGCCAGGGGGACCTCTTGGAAACCCCTCCTGCTCCTCCTCCTCTCCCTCACTACCCTCTTCCCTCCTCCTCCTCCTCCTCCTCCTCCTCCTCCTCCTCCTCCTCCTCCTCCTCCTCGCAATCTGAGCAGCGCTTCGAGGCATCCGAGCCCTCCTCAGAAGCCCCCTCAGCCACGCAGAAATCAGGGTTCGACTGCGCGGACACTTGCGCGAAAGCAAAGCCCCCCTTGAGGTCCCGCGTGAGGCCTTCGTTTCCACTGTGGCGTGCCTCGCTGGCGGCCCGCGTAAGCCGCTGCGCAAGGCCGCCATGTCATCGTGCGTAAGCCCCCTTTCTTTTCTTCTTCTCAGGGGCCTCCCTGGGCTGTCTTGGGGCCTTCTTGGGGCGCCTCAGGGCCGTGCTGGAGGCCCTGGCGGGCGTCGTGAAGGCCCCTTGGGCCGTCGTGGGGCCATCTCGGAAGCCTCTTTGGCCATCTGTGGGCGATCCGGGATGCCTCTTTGGCATCCCCTGGACCTCTTGGCCGGCCGGTCGTCTCCCTCGCGCCGCCGCCCGCCCCTCGCGCCCCCGCCGCGGCCAGGCGCAGGAGGTCGGGGCCCGCAACAAGACGAAGTGGAGGCGCCCTGCGCGGGGCCTGGCGCTCGAGAACGCCTCGGGCCCAAGCCTCCAGCGCTGGATTCGAAACCGCAAATGCCATACACGTAAACTGTTGGCGCTCCGCGCGGATTTCTTGGATCCGCGCTGGGCCCGCCCGGCGGCGCCTCCGGCGGCGCCTCCGGCGGCGCCCCTGGCGCGCTCCGCCCGCCAGGGGGGGGGGCCCAGTGCGGACCCAAGAAATCCGCGCGGAGCGCCATAAGTTAATGCGTATGGCGTTTTTTTGTTTGTTTTTCTATGGACGCGGCATCCTGCGGATGAGGGGGAGGGGGCGGTGGCGCGGCCGCGTGCCGCGCCGCAGGTGCTGCCCCCAGATGTGGCTCCCAGGTGCAGCCTGCAAGTGCAGCCCCCAGGTGTCGGCCCCGAGGGGTAGCCCCGAAAGTGTCGCCCCCCTCCTCCTCCGCCTCCTCCTCCTCCTCCTCCTCCTCCGCCGCCTCCTCCTCCGCCTCTCATCCTCCTCCTTCCTGCTCATCCTCCTCCTCCTCTCTACTCCTTCCTCCTCCTTCGCCTCCTCCTCCTCCTCCTCCTTCCTCCTCCTCCTACCCCTCCCACCACACAACTTGGTGGGCGCCTGAGACTCCGAGGAATCACTCCCCTCTCCTCCTCTTCTCCTCCTCCTCCTCCTCTCATCCTCTCCTCCTTCCTCCTCCTCCTCCCTCCTCCTCCTACTCTCCTACCCTCCTCCTCCCACCAACCTTTGTGGGCGCCAGGAGACTCGGAGGAAAACTCCCTCCCTCCTCCTCCGCCTCCTCCCCTCTTCCCTCCTCCTCTCTCCTCCTCCTCCTCCCTCTCCTCCTCCTCTTCTTCCTCCTCCTCCTCCTCCTCCTCCTCCTCCTCCTCCTCCTCCTCCCGTGTGCAGCCCCCGAGTGCAGCCCCCAAGCGTGGGCTTCGAGCGTAGCCCGTCAAATGCAGCCCCCATGGGTCGCCCCTTGGTGTAGCCAGCGCCCAAATTTCGCCCCCTCTGTGTAGTTCCCAGGTGTGGTCCCCCTGCGTAGCTCCCCAGGTGCAGTCCCCAGAGGCAGGGCCATCATCCAGCAACGCGCGTGCAGGGAGAAAGTATGACCGTTCGACCCCCCCGCTCTGATCTGCGTGTGTCATAGTGGTTTTCCTTGATTTCCGCATCCAGGGATAAGTTTTGGGCCCCGGGCGCATCAGAAGCGAGCAGGATTGGTTTTGGAAATGGTGTCGAGGGCTTTTGGGCCAGCGAGTTGAACAAACAACACGACATCATGTATGGGGTGAGGGGTGGTGGGTCCAGTGCTTTTCGGGTCGGGATCGCCTAGGTCTAGCATAGAGGTTCAATTGCTCCAGATCGTGGTTTCTTCTCCAGCCTGCCCCTTGAAGCCTTGCGCGGCACTACGGCGAGAGCACAATTTAGGCTTTTATCTCGCGACCAAATGTCAGATGAACGCAAGCGGAAACAAAGCATGCGCCGAGCCGAAGCCGTATTGCCACGAGACGTTTGCGAGGCGATATGGCGAAATCATCATGTTGTCCGCTCTCGCGCGGCCCCGCTGCCACTGCCGCTTTCCCGCGACTCGGATACCGAACAATACAGTGGGGCGTGCCAATTCACAAGCCGCCCCTAAACCCAAACCCCCCTTGAGGGAGGGTTCGTTCCCCCCCCCCCTGAACCCCCCAACAACCTTCCCGAATGGTTTTGTTTTGGCGAGGTGAAACTTCTGTCCACCCGGAACCCTCGAAAAACAGCCCTCACGTACTCCTCAACCCACCCGAGAACCCTCCTTGAGGGTTTTTTGTTCAGGGGTCTCTGGGTGCAAAACCCCCTAAACCTCTACACACATCGCCTTTGAGGGAGGTTTGGATAGTTTTTTGGGGGGTGTCTAGGGGGAACCCCTCTACAAGAACCTTTCCCTGATGGGCGGGTTTTGAGGGGTTCTGGGGGGACCCCCGAGGCCCTCCAAAAACTCTTCTTGAGGGGGGCTCTTGGAGGAAAGCACATTGTTAGACCTTTCATGAACGCCCATTGAGGGGGAGGGGTTAAGAATGTCTAAACCCCGCCAAGTTCATCTTTGCGGTGTTTCTAACATGTGTTCGGGGGGGCTTAGTTTCCCCCAGCACTCCCCCTTAAGGTTTTTTTGCGGTTCCGGGGGAAAACGCCCCTATCACCCCCCAGCAAGCTTCATTGAGGTTTTTGTTTCGGGGGGGGAAGTAGAATTAACCTCCCAATAACCTCCTTCGAGGAAGGTCTCTGAGGGGTTCTGGAGGAAAAGGTTCTGGGGAAACACTTCCCTAAAATCCCCGTGGGTGGTTTATGGGGTGGGGTGCGTGGTAAAAATCTTCTAGCCCAACCAGCGAAAGTCCTTGAGGGTGTTTCTTGGTAGGGTTCCGTGGGGAAAACCTCCCGAACTTCCTACATAACCTTCCTTGAGGGGGGGGGGGGCGGGGGTCTTGGGGGGAACATTTTTTCCATTCCTTCAAAACAAATCCCTGATCTTTTTTTTGGTGGGGTCCAGGGGAAAAGCCGTCCTAATCCCTCTGAGGGAGGGGGCGTGGGAGGGGGGCGAAGATGAGGCACCAAACAAGCAGCCTCGGGGCAGGGTGGGTGGGCGTTTTTTTTTGTGTGTTTCTGTTCGGGGCTCGTGGCACGGTATTGTTTTCGGTTTTGCGGGGGCCGGTGCCCCCCCCCCAAACCACCCCTCCCCCTCTAGGTTCTGACTCCCCAAACTTCCCCCCCCCCATCAGTCGGGGGCAAAGAGGGGGGGGTGATGACTAGGGGGGGTGGATATCATGGCGTTGGCCATGATAGTTCCCCAGATTTCATGGCGCCTCCTCTTATTTCATTACGTCGCTGGCCCCCCCCCCCTGGACCGCGCACATGTCGTCGGCCATGATTTGCGCCCCCCCCTCTTGGACGCCCCCCTCTGGGCCGAACCCCCGATTCAGAGGGGTCCGGGTTTTTTTGTTCCAGGGGGTCCCTGGAAACTCCCACCCCAGTCTCGAAGAACGCGCGCCGTGCCGCAGCGGGAGCGCCGCGTCTGTGCGACGCATCTGCACGGGGCTTCCGGGCGAGGGCGGCAACATTCTTGGCCTGCTCGCGCGCGGCCCCGTCCCGGACGACCTGGCGAGTGAAGCCTGTGCACCAGGCCCGGGCGAGAGCGCCACTTTCGGTTGATATCTGCGCGGCGCCGAGGCGAGAGCGCCACTGTGCCCGCTCGCGCGCGCGATCCTGCCGTCCACAAGCTTGCGAGCGAAGGATGTGCGTCGCGCCCTGAGTGGGACCGCATTGTTCCTCTTTTGCCACACATGTTGCATAGTCGACGACGTATTGCCCATGCTGAAAGGGAGGCTTTGTCTTGTTTTTGATGGGCAGGATGGTACCACCCAGATCTGGTGGCCATCAGCAGGCTAGGTGATAGAGTGGGATCTTATGCCAGGAAGGGGTAAGGGTAGGAGGTACTAGGAGGGAAAAGAGCAGGATGAAGAACCGGAGGAGGAGGAGGAGGAGGAGGAGGAGGAGGAGGAGAAACAGCAACCTGTGCGCGCTCCCTCTGGGTGGCTGTTATAGAGAAAGTCAGCATGCCAGTTTTGTTTGGTCGGCAGTGCGGGTACAGGGCTTCAGCGAGGGCTAGCAAGCTCCGCGGCCCGTGTCGACCGCTACCCACATCCAAGTCGGACCCGAGGAAACTTTGCACGGAGGTTCCCCCAGGGGGTTCTGGACAGCAGCCCGCAGACCTTTCGTCCGTTTTCCTTTCCTCGGTGCCCCCAACTTCCTTTCACCCCCACACCCTTCCAACATCTATTTCTGAAGGGCACAAGGAAGTTCTCATGAGGCCAGGTCGATGGTCGACCTGGACTTGGTGAGCGTGTGAGCGATTGAGGAGCAGCAAGAGGGGAAGAAGTCGTGGGAGGAGGGGGATGAGGAGGAAAAGGAGGAGGAGGAGGAAGAAGAGCAACATGGGGAGAACGAGGAGGAGGAGGAGGAGGACCAGTGTAAACCCAAGAGTCATCAACGAGGTTGGAGTGAACCCTCCCTCCGAGCTCCCTCTTCATAGGCCCCTACAATGGTTCTTTTCCATTGATGGAATTGCCTCGTTTGAAGACAACCGTTCGAAGACCCTGAAGCATGCCAAAACATTGTTCTCGGGATTCCAACGCCACGGATCAACCAGACTGTTGCGTCTTGACGATCCTGAAGCATGCCAGAACGCCATTACTAGGATTTCAACACAGAGAATCAACGTAACTGCTGCACCCGCATAATCCTGAATCCTTCCGCAACACCATTCTGGTACGTTGATGATGGGACTCCGTGAAACTCTAGAAACTTGTGTAAAACATGTGCTCGCCGCCAAGGCGAGAGCCACAGTTTGAAAAGGAGCCGCCCTCGATCCGTGAAACCCTTGCAATGTTTTGGAACGAATGTTCGCCGCGTTAAGGCGAGAGCCACATTTTGAAAACGACCCGCCCTCAATCCGTGAAACCCTTGCCAGTTTTTAAACGAATGTGCGCCGCGCTAAGGCGAGAGCTACATGTTGAAAACCACTCGCCCTCAATCCGTGATATGTTTACAATGTTTTAGAACGAATGTGCGCCGCGCGGAGGCGAGAGTCACATTTTGAAAGCTTCCCGCGCTCAATCCGTGAAACTCTTGCAATGTTTTAGAACGAATGTGCGCCGCGCTACGGCGAGAGCCACATTTTGAAAATGACCCGCCCTCCATCTGTGAAGCTGTTGTCAGTTTAAACTTCAGAGTCATCAGTGGTGAGGAAATCTCAGACGAAGCTCCCGGCACACCCTAAAAACTGGCTTCGGGGTGCGACAGGGAGAAGCTCTTTATAAGGAAAAGGAATGGAGGAGGAGAAGGAGGAGGAGGAGGAGGACAGGAAGAAGAAAGGGAGGAGAAGCAGGAGGAAGAGGAGGAGGAAAACAGGAGGAAAAGGAGGAGAAGATGGAGGAGGAGGAGCAGGAGCAGGAGCAGGAGGACGAGGAGGGGAAGGAGAGAGGAGGAGGAGGAGGAGGAGGAGGAGGAGGAGGAGGAGGAGGAGGACCTCTGTGGATGACCCCTCTGGGCCCGACAGTTCCAGCTCTCGGAGATCGTCTCTGGCTTCGTCGTGATCTCTCCTCCGCACAAGAGGAGGACCGCCAAGAGGCCTCCAGGCTGCGCACACACGGCCCCGCCAGGTTGAGTGCCCGCTGGTCTCGACGGGCCTCCCGAGTAGCCCCAGCTGGCCTCAACAGCCCCCCGAGTATCAGGAGGGACAAAAACACAGACACAATTCACACACTACATCGTCGACTCCCAGGAAGATATGGGACGATATGGGAAGGGGGGGGAAGATGAACACCCAGAAAACATGGAAAGATATGGTGGATCCTGGGAATTGTGTGTATTCATTTGTGTCTCCTTGGGCCCTTGGCAGCGCTCGGACGTGTGCATGTTTCCTTCGGCGAGAACCATCGAGGAGTATCCTTGATCATTTGGCGAAAAAAGCACGCACGAAACCAAACAAGCACAGGGAATGGACGTCCGAGCGATGGCGAGGGGCCCCTTCAGTCCCAGCTGGCCTCAACAGGCCCCCCGAGTAGGCCGAGGCGGCCTCAGCATCCCAGCCTCGGGGCACGGGGCTCCCCAGGCGTGCAGTTTGGTGGGCTTGCTTTGCCACCACCACCACCAGAAGGTGGAGGAGGAGGAGGTGGAGGAGGAGGAGGAGGAGGTGGATGAGGAGCTGGAGGAGGAGGAGGAGGAGGAGGAGGAGGAGGAGTGGAGGAGGAGGAGGAGGAGGAGGAGGAGGAGGAGGGGGAGGTGGGAGACGAGGAGGAGGAGGAGGAGGAGGAGGAGGAGGAGAGGAGGAGGAGGAGCTGGAGAGGAGGAGGAGGAGGAGGAGGAGGAGGGGCAGGAGGAGGAGAAGGGGGAGGAGGAGGAGGAGGAGGAGGAGGAGGAGGAGGACCCCCCCCTCCAACTTCTGGTGCTGGTGGTGGAAAGGAGGCCCAGCACCGCTGGGGACGGCGCCAGGGCGCCGCGGCCGCCTGGTGCTGCGCTCGGGGCTCCAGGAGCCTACTGGGGCCAGCGGGGGCTGCTTGGGGGGGACCTGCTGAGGCCAGCCAGGGCGACCTTTGAGTCGGGCCTGTCCCTCTACAGAAGGAATATTCAAAACTAGCAGAACATCGTTAGGGTAGGTTTTTGTTTCTTGCGTGCTTTAAAAGAAAAGAAACTAACGATAACATGTTTTTTTCAATGTTTCGCCCAAAATTCCTCCGTGGGGGGTCAGGTCCGACCTAAGCCTACCTGGAGGGGGGCTGTCTGTGCGCAACCCGAAGCCTTTCAAAGGAGGACTCGAGGAGGTCGGGTGGGGCCAGGACAGGGACAAGTCTCAGGCGATCGCAAACATGGGTTAAGGGTTAAGGGGGCGTGAATTGGCGACGGGTCCCGTTTCCATGGGGAATCGCAGATCTCCGCCGCCGAGCGAGGCGGCACCGGCCGCATTCTGGGGAGGGCACCTCCCCCGATGCATGGATTTGGCGACCGCGCGCTAAATACATGGATCGCTAATCCATGTTTGCGCGCCCCCGATCTGTGCGCAACCCGAAGCCTTTCAAAGGAGGGCTCGAGAAGGTCGGGTGGGGCCAGGACAGGGACAAATCGCTCCAGAGCGTTCAGGAACGCTCTGGGAAGACCGCGGCGCCCGATCTATCTTCCGGAACCGCCAGGGTTCAGAGATCCCCGATGAATCCGTGTCTTGGCCTCGTTGTTCAGCGCAAAAGGATCAGGCAGCGACCAGCCAGGGTGGGACGTGAGAGGGGGCGGGCATTGTCAGAAGGCTCTGAAGCCCCCCGGCCTTCCGAGAAGTTTTCTAGGCCTTTCCCGAAGACCAAGAACGCTTCCCAGAAGGCTGCAGGACTTCGAGAAGCCCCGCCGCCTTCTGAGCAGGCCTGCTCCCTCTCGCTTCCCCCCTCGGCGTCACCCCAACATATGTGCGTCGCCCCCCCCAGGGGCGACGCGCGCACCGAGAAATCTTATAGTACATGCGTCGTGGCGGGCGCTTTCTGGCCACACCTTTCGGGAAAACGATGTGCTACAACATGGGTATACTATACGTTCGGGTCGGACGCGCGCCTCCAAGGAGGACATAGTAGTAGTAGTAGTAGTAGTAGTAGTAGTAGTAGTAGTAGTAGTAGTAGTAGTAGTAGTAGTAGTAGAAGTAGAAGTAGAAGTAGAGTAGAAGTAGAAGTAGAGTAGAAGTAGAAGTAGAAGTAGAAGTAGAAGTAGAAGTAGAGTAGTAGAAGTAGAAGTAGAAGTAGTAGTTGTAGTAGTAGTCAGTAGTAGTAGTAGTAGTAGTAGTAGTAGTAGTAGCAGTAGTAGTAGTAGTAGTAGTAGTAGTAGTAGTAGTAGTAGTAGTAGTATGTCTCTGTGCGTCCCACTCTCGCCGCCGAATCAGAGGAGGGAGAGGTACTGATGCCGCTGCGCTTCCCTTATCTTCGCCCCTGCGGGCCTCCTGGGTGGCCCCCGCCGTCGCGGCTGGGCTCGCCCCCAATCTCTTGGCGGGGCACAGCCGAAGGAAGGCCTGGGGAGTTGCGGTATCGGTGCTTGTCTGTTCTCCGAGGGAGAGGAAGGAGTTTCCAGCAGTTTCATTTCTCACGTGGTGAGGGAGGGAGAGGAAGAAGGAGGAGGAGGAGGAGGACGAGGAGGAGGAGGAGGAGGATGTTGATGATGATGAGGATGAGGATGAGGATGATGCTGATGATGATGATGCTGATGAAGATGATGATGAGGAGGAGGAGGATGAGGAGGACGATGATGAGCATGAAGACGAAGATGAGGATGATGCTGATGCTGATGCTGACGATGATGGTGGTGATGATGATGATGATGATGATGATGATGATGATGATGATGATGATGATGGTGATGGTGATGGTGATGGTGATGGTGATGGTGATGCTGATGATGCTGGTGATGGTGGTGATGATGATTGTGATGGTGATTGTGATGGTGATGATGATGGTGATGATGATGATGATGATGATGATGGTGATGGTGATGGTGATGGTGATGATGATGATGCTGCTGATGATGAGGAGGAGGAGGAGGATGGTGGTGGTGATGATGATGACAATGATGATGACGATGATGATGAGGATGAGGATGAGGATGAGGATGACGATGAGGATGATGATGCTGATGATGATGACGACAACGATGATGATGAGGATGACGATGACGATGACGATGAGGATGATGATGCTATTGAAGATGACGATGATATGATGCCGATGCTGATGATGATGCTGATGATGATGATGATGCTGATGAGGATGCTGATGCTCATGCTGATGATGCTGATGATGATGATGGTGATGATGATGATGATGATGATGATGATGATGATGATGATGATGATGATGCATCTGGTGATGATGCTGATGATGATGTTGATGCTGATGCTGATACTGCTGCTGATGGTCATGATGGTGAGGATGAGGATGAGGATGAGGATGCTGCTGCTGCTGCTGCTGCTGCTGCTGGTGGTGGTGGTGGTGGTGGTGATGATGATGATGATGATGATGATGATGATGATGATGATGATGAGGAGGAGGAGGAGGAGGAGGAGGAGGAGGAGGAGGAGAGGAGGATTTGAGGAGGATTTGAGGAGGATGAGAGGAGGAGGAGGAGGAGGAGGAGGAGGAGGAGGAGGAGGAGGAGGAGCAGCAGAGCCCTTCCAGACTCCCGAGAGGATCGATCGCTAAAGAGGTCCTCCTCCTCCTCCTTCTTCCCCTCCTTCTCCGACTCTTGCGATCGTGTCTCCGACTCCGGCTCCTACCTTTACGATTGCGGTTCTCCTACCTTCCGGCTCCTGCGCCTATCTTTCCTCCGATTCCTGCGCTCGTCTGCCCAACTCCAGTTGCAGATATTACGCTTACATCGGCGCGAAGCAATGAAAGATTGCGGTCGACTTTTACACGGACGACGACAGGGCAAGCAAAGCCTTTTCACCGTCTCCGACTTCAAACCCAACGATTCAGCATCCGACTCCTGCTCACAGCACTTCTCCTGAGGGCCCCGGCCCCTCCTCGCTGGGTTCCGAAACAGATCTCACAGTCGCGACGAGCGACCTGCCTTTTGGGAGGTCCAGAAGCACCTGTTTGGTGGTCTGGGATCCCCCGGGCCTGCCACGGCCCCAGCCTCCGCCCACCTCTGGGGCGGAGGGTGGCCGGGGCCGGCCGTGCGCAGCAGCGCCCGCCGCCGGGGCTCCCGGCCGCTCAAAGTGGCCTCCCGGGGGCCCCGTCGCCAGGCGCCGCGTCATGTGGAACCAGTGCTTCTACCTCAGCATCGCGCACGCCTACATGGGCACTCACCACCCACCAAACCACCCCAACCCAACCCGAAGGCTTCCATTTGCCCGCCATTTCCAGTTTGGGGGGGTCGGGGAACACTGAAAAAACACATGTGGAACCCTTACCCCCCCCCAACCCGAAATCCGGGTCTTCGGGATGGGTTGGGGTGGTCTGGTAGGTAGTCAGGCACCGGCGACAACGACCGGCAGACGAAGCGTCTGGCCCGCAAGCTCCGCTACGCCATCGAGGCGGCTCTGCGCGGGGCCATGCGGCTCCCCATCGGATTCGCTTTCGCGTTTCGACTGTCTTCCCAGCCTCCAGCGAGCAGGGTCCACGGCTCGAGCGGAGTACTGCTGCCTCCTCTTCTTCCGCCTCCCTTATTCTCCCTCCTCCTCCTCCTCCTCCTCCTCCTCCTCCTCCTGGTTTCCATGCATGGCACAATGTTTTTTTTGGTGGAGCTCGAAAACACATATCATGTACGAGTTCCCCTGGGATTTCGAGCACGCCTGGCCCTCAGGAGGTCCCCTGAAGAGCCCGAAGAGTCCCTCCTTCTCCCTTCTCATTCCTCCTCCTCCTCCTCCTCCTCCTCCGCCTCCTCCCTCGTCGTCCTCCTCCGCCTCCTCCTCCTCCTTCTCCCTCCTTCTCCCTCCTTCTCCCTCCTTCTCCCTTCTCCCCTTCCCCCTTATCCCTCCTCCTTCCCTCCCTTCTCCCTTCTCCCTCCTCCTGCCTCTGCCCCGCGCCGCCGCGAGCGCCTGCTCTGCACCTCATGCTGCATGCCCTGCCTGCTGATCGGAGGTGCCCTCCGCCGTGTGCTCCTGCTCTTGCAGCTTGGGAGGGCCCCCCGGCAGCCTCCGCGGGGCCACGCGCGGGCCACGCGGGAGGGCCCCTCCAGAGACTTCCATGGACCTCGGCTCTGGACCTCGGATCTCCAGAAACCTGTGGAGAGGCCTCCCGAGACCTCGAGGGGTCTCCAGGGAACACACCAGGGGCCCCAAGGGACCTCGGGAGACCTCGAGAGGTCTCTGGGGACTCCCAGGCGAGGAGGAGGAGGAGGAGGAGGAAGAGGAGGAGGAGGAGGGAGGAAAAGGAGAAGGAGGAGGAGGAGGAGGAGGAGGAGGAGGA